TAACCATATTTCTTGAAACATGGCATGAGAGTAAATTTTTGTTTAATCACATTTTTAATAACTGATTTGTGTGTTGAGAAAAGCGAGATTTAGTTTCGTGAAATGAAACTTTTTCGCTTAGTTTAATACTATATCTATTAAAATGGTAATAATAAATATGTGAAAGCGAATTTCAAAATTTTGTTTGAAGAAAACTTGCACACAGGTGTTCGCCTTAATTTGAAATTACTCCCAGTTCTGTACGTCTTGTAGTGACGAAGTCATAAGGATTTTCCTCAAAGCCAAAAATATACTATATATAAGTTAGAAGTTCGCTCTCGTTTGACGTATCAAATTGAAGTTTTTACCAGAAACGTGTCTCACTACGGCCACTCATTCCTAGAAATTTCAGTTCAAATGAACCATTTCTAAGTGATAAATCTATTGTGAAGAGAGAGAGTCTTCTTGATATGACCATGTCATTTATCTATATCATTAGAAGATCATATGACAATTTACATACTTTTTTTTCAAATCATAGAATCATATATATATATATACTTCATTGCAAGATTAAACTGTACTTGAAGTAAAGTAAGTTGATATTATTATTATAAAATATAATGACAGAAAAACCACTGATACGATGTACAAATGATAATGTGAAACAAGAAGTTTCATTTTACAATTCTTTATTTGAAGATTCAACAGCAACTGATAAACGAAAAAATGAATAGAAAAATTTAGTTACAAGTTATTATAGTTTAGTAACAGATTTTTATGAATATGGTTGGGGACAAAGTTTTCATTTTGCAAATCGATTTCATGATGAAACATTAGCTGAATCTATTCAACGACATGAATCTTATTTAGCTTTGAAAATGAATTTAAAAGCAGGCGATAAAGTACTCGATCTTGATTGTGATGTTGGTGGATCATTGAGACGTATTGCTCATTTAACTGGAACACATGTTACTGATATAACCATTAGTGATTATTAAATTCAACGAGCTAAAAAAATCGGTGAGAATATGAATATTTTCATCTTGATGGAATTTATCTCTGTTATATGTAGGTGTATCAGCTAATTGTCAGTTTATTCAAGGTGATTTCATGAAACTACCATTTGAAGATAATAGTTTTGATCATGTTTATACTATTGAAGCTGTATGTCTTGCATCAGATAAGATAAATTTATACATCACATGTTAATCTGTTTTTAATATTGAAAACAAAAACCTTCTTTTCTGTAATCTTTTTTTAGGCAAAATGTTTTGCTGAAGTTATTCATGTACTTAAACCAGGAGGTTCTTTAGTTGGTTATGATTGGTGTTTCACTGATAAATATGATAGTCAAAATTGTGATCATGTTGAAACAAAACGATTAATTGAAGAAGGTGATGCATTACCTGATTTAAAATCTACATATCAATTGGTTGCAGATCTGAAATCTGTTGGATTTACTATTGCAGAAAGTCGAATAATTCCAGAAGGTGATATTTCATGGTATCAACCATTAAAAGATGGAGATTCATTTTTTACATTAAACAATTTTCGTACAAGTTTTCTTGGACGTTTATTAACATATAATAGAGTTTGGCTATTGGAAAAAAACTGGAATAGCTGCTCAAGGTAGTCTAGCAACTCTTAATATACTTGAAACAGCAAGAGATGGCATAATACGTGGTGGTGAAAGTGTTATATTTACACGTTATTTCTTTTTTCTGGCAAGAAAATCTTGATTTAAAAAAATAAGCCAATAGACGAATTTCTAAGAATTGAACTTTGTTATTTCTCGTTGCATTTGAGTTTTTATAGATGTTTTAATAAATTGTAAGCAATGTAGTATTTGGGTTCTCCTTACTTTTGTTGAAAGCGGAGGTAGAAATTTTCTGAATATTTTCTTCTTGAGAAAATTAAAAACTCGAGCATATAAATATGAAACCAATGTTTATTATTGTAAAAGAAACAATACAAGACAAACAAAAAGGCTTTCGGTCTCTTATCAACGTTAAGTTACTTTTGCATAATCATCATTTTTTTTTACCACAAGTAAGAACAAACCTGAGATAATCATTATCTCGATTAAATCAAGTATTTTTTCGATTGACGTTCATAGGATTTTCGGCTGGAGGAGAAGATCAAATTTTTTCTATCTGTTTTTGATAAGACTATTCTTCATGTACGATATCTATGACAATAATTATTCTGTACATTGAAAAATGAAAAGAAGAATATATATAATCAAACAAACACTTAATTAACTTCATTCGCAACTAGTCAATCGATGTTTTAGTTTGGTAAAATTATCCATAATACTTGTGATAAATGAATACTGATAGTAGTCAAATTAATAAGTTTTTCATCGCTTCTCCTATTGCATAAATAAGTTTTAATTAACTTCAAAGCAGAATATGAACGTTCGACAGTAGCTATCGATGCTGTTACTTGACATTTGAATTAGATTGAGAATAACACTTGATACGTTCGGTTGCATAAATAATGGAATTCTTATGATATTCATATTTATCCTGATTCGATAGTTAATCCTAGAGAGAAGAATAGATCACTTCCCCAAACCTCCCATCTGTAACGTCCCTAAACTGTAAGTTTGGGTATTGCTCTATTATTCACGCGCACACGCAGTTATATTTTATTTGTTAATCAAAACACATAAAAATATTCTTTTTTAATGTAATAATTAAAACAAAATCTTAAATTCAAAATATATCGGATATGCAATTAGGTATTTAAATGAGAATAAACAAATGCCTATTCAATTGAATAACTCTTATTAGAAAGTATCTGAGAGAAATTGTAGGAATATGAACGTAATTTTGAAAGATGTTTTTCAAGATCTTTTCATAATTACACTGATAGTATATTACTCAATAAAATAAATTTTGAATATTGAAAACAAATGAAGTTGTTTTTAAGTTTCATTCTGTTCATCAAAAGAACATGTTTCGATAAGATTTTTCTTTTTGACCACGTTGTTTTTTGGTTGGGAACGTATGACAGAATTGTTAAAAGCGTTTCCCACCACTTAGTTTTCTGATATTTCAATATGGTCTTATTTATTCCTATGGTACTTCTAGACTTCTCAAAAATTTTTTTCAATTTTTTTTTGTGGTGATAACGAATATCCTGTTTAAAATCGAAAACAAGTTGAGCAATAAGGGCAAAAGGTACGCATTACTGATGAACTTGTCATAGAGTAGTTTTTTTGGTGTACCATCTTTTTTCACATAAAAATCAAATAAAAGCATTAGCTTTTACTCTTTGAATTAGATCAATGTGATCGAACTTCTTTTTTTTTATCAATTTCGGACCAACTCAGTTCTCAAGAAATCTGGTGCGTAATTATTATTTCGAAAAAAAAACTCGAAGGTATTCTTAAAACTCAATATTATGAATCTTTGTCGGTATTTTCATTACTGAAAAATGGCTTGGTGTCACAAAAAGTGAATCATACAGATCGACGCTGTTCTTGATCTTTATTCGAATATCAATTCCAATCGTCAAAAAACGATATACATTATATTTCGTAGCTTTCGCACGCCTATATCGTGCAAAATAGTAGTTACTTCAAACTAGGAAAAAAAGTAGCTTTCATGTCAATATATTACAAGATCGTGAATAGCAATTGGTAGGGTTTACATAAGGATAGAAGTCTCAAGATACGCTGGTGACGATGGAGCTGCCAAAAAACCTGATAGGCATCTTTTTTTTTGCTGCTTCGAATTCATATTCGGATAGAGCATGTAAACTTGTATGGAGTTATATCTATATAGCTTTTGATAAAAAACCATTTTTCAGTAGGATAAAGTGTAATAAATGTCAAACAATTCCTTTTTTTTGAAAATATCTCGATGTTTGTTTTTTGTGCGAGATATGTTAGAGCTGTTTTCGTTTGGAATAGAGAATGAATAGGTTTCCCGAAATAGTTTATGTTTTAGAAAATATATCTAATGTTTATGTATATTTTTCAAATAAAACAAGAGTTGTGCAAGGAAAAACTAATATATGATCAATTTATTAATAGTGTACATTTTTCTCTGCGAAGACTCGATTGTTGTCGATTTTAAATATCATACTCGCATACTCAGCGTGCAAGATTACGCCTAGTACATAAATACTTTTCGAGAAATTTGAGAAAAGTTTTTTAAAAGCTCCACGAGTTACCTCAGGAACTAAGAAGGTCATATCAAAATAGCGCGAAACTAACCTGTGGAAAAATGTTCTTATCGAAATCTGTCCTTTACTGAATAAACATCCAAGAATCTTGTATTAGACAATAAATAGGAGTGACAAGATGACAGTAGGTCTAGATTTTAGGCATTTTGTATGCTCGAAAAGACAAACATATTCAAATACCTTTATCAATACAACTAGAAAATATTTTTTTAGTACTAACCTACAGCATATACATAGTCGCACAAATATCAAATCCTGTTGTGTTCGAACGAAAAATGTTGGAAGCCTAACTTTTTCACTCATAGATAGAGTAAAGTATGTATTTTGAAACGCATATCCAGAATAAAATTTAGGATTTAGTTTAAGACATTAAAATTTTAAATGTTTTTAAAAACCTCTCAAACATGGCTTGTCACTAGAGTCCCACGAGACAAACTTTTTCGAGTCTCAAATCTTGTTTACTGAGAAAAATATCAATACATCATTTTATCAAAAAAAGAAACCTGTTCTCTGTCACCAATAAAAATAGGTGTTCATGTGAATTATTACGAGAAAAATGAGTTTGTTTTTGATATTCTGTGGCATTTAAAAATATTCATATACTAAAAAAAACGATGCAACTATTATATCATCCCTACGACTCAACCATTTTGACAGCGGTTTTCTTCAAAATGTATAGCCTACTTGCATAAAGTTTCACCTTAATCCGTAGTTAAGAATTCATTGTGGTTAAGAAGAAGAAAAACTGTGTTTCTATCTGGCTCAAAATTATGCACAGAGTTCTTGTAATATTTTATGTAAATTTTTCGACATTACTATTATTTCGTTTCATTAATATCACTATTTGCAGCGTTCAAAATATTTCTAATGAAGAAGATGCAATATATTTTGAAATACTCAATTACGAATTGTGTTTATTTATGTTTATTTTCTACGAGCTATAGTAATAATTTTGAATCTACTAGAAACTCATCAAAGTGAAACTTTATTAAAGTAGACTTTACTTACGGTTATGCATTTTGGAGAAAACTGCAGCTAAATTGGTGGAGTCCGAATGGAGATATAACAGTTGCATTATTTTCTTCCACTGAATGAATAATTTTGAACGTCATCGCTTAGTATTAGCAGTACAAGACCGTACGACAAGCACGTCTGAATACAGATAAAGTCAATAATTTCATAATGTTGTAAAAGTATGAGAAAAAAGTGATACACTTGAGGTATAACTGCAGTTTACGTATATTCTCAAATTCATTATAACCCTAACTAATGTACATAAAAGACTAATTAAAATAAGACGATGCAGCGATGATGCGGTAGAGTTTAACAATTGATAACGAGAACGATAATAAACAGCTGTAAAGGCATATTGTAGTAGTTTTTTTTTGCTGCGATTTTATCTTGTGTTATTCATTTAACTATAAAAACATTGGATAGGAATAAGAAACTAAAATTTTAGGCATGCTCCGATATGCGAATTTAAAAAATTCGACACATTCGTTTTTTCGTATTATCTTCAATTTCATTTGTTCCGCAGAGCTCTACTTGTTTTACCAAAGTAAATACTTTTCGTGTTTAAACTTGCACTATGTTAACCAAAAACGAAGGTTGTGGATTCTAGATTTTCAAAAAAAATCAATTATCTATATTTTATCTTATCAAGGATAGTCAGGAATCGGCATTGAAAGCAAAAGCAGTAGGTTCTCAGGTTTTGGCGAAAGTTTTAAATATTTTTAAGAACAGAAGCCTTTCGAGAAGCCCAAAATATGCAGCTTTTTGTAACAAAACCGCATCTGGAAACAATTTTGGCGGAATTAGAGATTTCAATAATTCGGAAGAATTGCATTCATTTGACTTAAACTTTTTTTAAATACAGCTATATAGCTAATCAAAATTTATATCCCATATGAGAGCATTGAAATAAATATATAGCCAAGATATAAAAGAATTCCTTACTTTACTTTCGTGACAAGCAACTTTGAATGGTTTTGAAAGCATTAAAATTTATCGTCTTAAACTATTTCGTAAATTTTATTTTGAATAGGCATTCTCAAAATATATACTTTGCTCTATTTGTGAGTGAGAAATTTAGCCTTTTAGCGTTTTTCGTTCGAACGTAGATAGCATCGACATTTGTGCGGATACTTATACAAAAGTAGGTTATAATGACGAACCAATTAATTAGCTATCATTCAATATTCTTCATTTTACACTGTTTAAGTGTATAGTTCTATTGAAAATGTGTGAAGTTGTACTTATAAATTGATATCATGCACTTTTTATCTTCTACGACTTTACAGTGCAACAAAACGGATATTTATATAGCTATCAAGTTCAGCTGATAGCATTTTTTTCTCTATTACTTTATTTTAGAATTGTGCCAGTTAATTCAGTTGAATTTTTTTTTATTAATTTTCATTCAACAATAAATTAATCAAATCATTCTTGAATGTCTACATCTTGTTCTTGCATTTGTCAACTAGCACATAACCATTATTCGATGAGAACTTTTCATTCAAGTCATTCTAAAAAAATAAACTCGTGT